GGGGCACCAGTTGCTCTCAAATGCAAATAGTTGCCTGAGAATTTAGAGGGAAAAATTTACAGTGAAAAAGAAGGAACTTTTGATTTTTACTTTGTTGCCTTGAAATAAAGAAAAATAATGGAAACTTCCTGCTCTTATTAATAGCCATTTTCAACTCAATTACTTGAAATGTTACACCATTTTGTAATGCAGAAAACACAAAAAAAGTGAAAAAAGTGTGAGTGTTTGTGTCTGTTTGTGTGTTTGTCCAATAAAACAAATATCACACAAAGGCATCCCTGAATTGTAAACTGTAAAACAAAGATATTGATCCAAATCACTTCAGCTTCATTACAGAAAACATGATCAAGTCAAGTCCACGTGCCAATTAGCAGTGTTAAACTCCCTGGGCTCTGTCTCTCTGACTCATTTTTTTACTTTGTTTCCAGGCCCCTTTAAGAGCAGTTCAGAATCTCCTCAGAGAACTGTGCCTAACATCCCAAGAAATGTCCCCAGTTACCAGTATCAATCTTCACCATTAAAAGCTGTACCATGTCGGGCCGGAGGCCTCGGCGGACAAGCAGAGCAGGGAGTGGAGATTGTTATTTTTATTCCCAATTCATTTCTGGGGTAGGGGCCATTTTGGGCCCATGTTTGCGGCATTGCCGATTGAGTCAAATGCCAGATTAAATTAAGTGTGATTGGAGGGACCGCGCAGTTGACGGTAAGGGACCGTGCTAAAATGGGTCAGCGTAGACAATGAAGGCCCTGTAATTAAAATGATGTGATGAGCTAGAGGAGAGCTGTGGCTGCCATGTGAAGAGTCAAACAACTGTGTGCCTGTCCATATGCAGACCTAAATGAAAAGTTTGGGAAATCTGAAGGATGGGATCACTTGATTTTTGGAAGATAAAGGCTCCTAAAATACAACAAAATGGCTGTAAATGTCTAGCACTGCAGTCACAGCCCAGACAGGTTTGCTATTTGCAAGAAACCAGGCTCCTCAGTCTTCCCAGTTCCAAAAAAAGTCAGTTATGTACTTGGGCTTTGCTTCTTTCAGCGGTGGGGAATCATGAGGAAGCCATAGAAAATGGTGCTTTAAAATAGCTTTGGGGTAGAAGGCTTTTACTAACAGAGTGAATTCACAGATAAAGGTGCTCTGTAATATGAACTGTGCTAAGAGTCAGACATGGCTACACGGCAGCATAAAATGCTGGGTTCCCAGTGTTTTTATTCCGCCTTCTGCACCACCAGCACATTTCTTCAATAACTGTTTAACAGGAGAGAATTAAGAGCTTACATGGACCCTGATCCTGAAGTGAAAAGACTCCAATGTCTGAATAATCACAGGCATTTAGAAAAGCCAAGCAACCTTGCAGCAAATAGGATACGTGTGAATTTCTAGATTTTTCTACAAATGCAAAGTATTGCTTTTCTTATTCGTCTTCTGACTAGATTTCAGAGATTTTTTTTCTTTTTTTTTTTAAAATCGCAGTGAATGTTTCAGTTATTCATTATCAGAGACAGTAGTACCAATCACAATTTAAACATGTTTTTTTTTCCTGACTAAAGCCAGTGTAATTTTTCTTGATTTTTTTCCAGCTATCTTTTAAATCCCACTTCAAGAACATTTGTATGAAAGAATGTCCAGTGGGAAATAAGGTGTTTTACAGCTATTACAGCAAACAAAATTATTTCAACCTCAGGGTGAACACAATATTGCACCAACATGACCCCCTCTCACTCCCAATATGATGGAGTAACCACACAGATCCTATCAGTAAACATGAACTGGACAACGAAGAATCCACAGAATACAAGCCTGAAGAGCCTTTGATAGCACAGCTGCCTTCTCTTCATGCATACAAATGAAATGTGCATATGTTTTAGTGCAAACATCAAATATTGCTTTATCAATGGCAATTAAATGATAAAGCATGACTGGGAAAATCCAAGGTGACAGTTTTCACCAGAAAAGGGAGAAACATAAAATAGTGTTTTCTTTTATTTTCAAATCAGCTTCAAAAGACTGCTACTTGGTTTTACTGTACAATCATAAAGTTATAATATCATAGCTGTCTGTCAGCAGGTAACCAAATTGGACACATTCTTGCTCCATACTGAAAACCGCCAAACTAATTCAATCAAGAGCCTGGGCTTTTCCAGAAGCAAATCAACTGCTGACAAACGATTTTACAGTTCAGCTTGAGCTCAGTAATCACAGCCTAGCATGTGTTCTCTGGAACATGACACTTGCGCTAATATGTTCTCCAGTGGTCTCCATAAAAGACAGTGAAAACACCACAGTTAAAATGCAATCTTCGATCCCAAGTAGCCCACTGTAATTTTCGATGTGTTATTTTATGCAATTTCCTTTAAGGCCCTGCCCATAACCAGGTTTAGCTAACTCTCACACTGAGTGCAGGAGGCTGGAGATTTAAAAGAGCAGCACTGTTTCCTTCCCTGCAATACTGGTCGGACTGTGTTGTAGCCTCTGGGAAAGTTATCTTCCAGAGGTACTGCTCACCAAATACATGCTCATTTACAACCCAATTCAGCATAAACACTCTGCAGCTGCGTCTCTGGTGATCACAAGGCCTATTCATGCACAGCAGGCCACTGTGCATGCAGAGGCAAGCTGACATATATAGATATATTTCCTCCTATGTGTGCAGCAGTCAATTTGTAAAGCAACTCCACAACACAGCATGTCCACACAGTCAGCTAGCAAGCTGTGTTCTGATCTGCGGGCCGAATCGATTGGTAATTCAGTTTAAAGCTAAAATCATTACTCCCCCCAGCCCAGCACTGTCTTCCACTATTAAGACTGCTAGTCCTTAACTACATAAGGTAGCATTGAGGGGAAGTTCATTGAAAGCATCTCAGTCTTCCTTTGCCTCTCAGTGGTAGTACCCCTACAACAGTGCAGAGAAGCTGGTGTGAGAAAAAGTGGGATCTGAACTAAGCTGATGACAGTGTTGTTCAGGCTGTGTGGTGATTACCCTCCCTTCACACCACACAGACCACTATAGTCTCAGCTAGAGGTATCACAGCTTGCTTTAGTTTAGTAAACACTGACCTGGAGGAACAGTTTTCAACCCCTGCACAGATATCAAACCTCTCACAAAAAGACTGTTTCCTGGCCACAGAATGGTAGGGATTGTGCTCCGACGGGGAGACACGTTTATTTAACATTCGATCAGAGAAGG